AAAACCTCTTTTTAAATGTCACCTTGCGCGATTAGAGAAGGGATTGTGAAAATGAAATAATGTTATACTAGATATTTATTCGAAATGAAGCATTTGCAAAAGTAAAATCTAGTGCCGTTATTATGTGCAAATAAATCATCCGGAGGAACTCCACCGCTGTTTTAATTACGTCAGCAATTCCGGTTAAATAAAAAGTCGAACACGAAATGTCTTTCGCCCTTTAATGCAATGATTAATGGGGCTACGGCAATCGCCTACCTAGGACCTGCTAGGAATGGGAGTTACAACGAGACAGGTCAGAAGTGTACCAGGGTAAGATTATTAATCAATCCGTAATATTATGACAACTCCCGGCGTACTCCTGAAATATGAAATGCGCCCGAGGAGAAATCGCGACAGAGTGCATTTGCATCGCGTCTGAATAAATATGACGTGGAGGAATTACCCACGGAATGCACTTGATAAATTCGAAAATCGTTGACGCTTTACGGACGTAGCTGAATATATAAAACTACTTTTTGTACTTTTTTCTGCTTGTTAGAGTCGTTGCTTGGGAACCCGTATTTCTATCCTGCACACTGAAATAACTGAAAAAAAAAATCACTACAGTTTTTAATCTTAAGGAAATTTTTAAGTTTTTAACATACATTGCAAAAAACCTAACCTTATCGAATATATGTCAGAAAGCTTAATAGGACCGGGTTAATTTGCGATTCGTAATTGCTGATTTAACAGCGGTACCAGATCCCGGCCGATTCCAGAGGTCCGTGACGGTCGCGCGAGCAAAAACTGGTCCTGGGAGAACAATAGTCGGCGCGCTTTTTGTCCTCCCGGTCCTTGAATTATTCAAGCCGGAAAACTAGCATTATCCGACGGATGCACAACATTAGTTAAGTTCAGGATTAGTCGCAGGCAAATAAATTATGGAAAACCCTTTGAAAGTGCCGCTAATTCCTAAGTTTGTAGTCACTTAATCCCTGGTGGAGAGCGCGGGAGGACCGGCCGAATAAAGTTGCCAACTTCACTCGAAAGCAGTTTATAACTAATCGTCCACGAGCGCACGATCCACTTCAACATTCTGTTGGATATCCGAGAGCCCTCCAGGATAAGTTTTAATGACCTCTTAACAGTTCTTGTTAGTTCACTTAATTATTGTTCAATAATAATCGGACTCGGCGTCGGAGGAGTAACCTACATTTCCCGTTTGAACGTGGAGTTCAATAATTTATCACATTGTGTCCGTTGTGCCACAAAGCACGTTTTAAATCGATTAAATTTGATTTAATCGTGAATCGTTTTATGTCATGCAGATTAAGGCTATGCCATATTTTTAATAACAAAATAAACTTAAAGTAAATAGATTTCGATAAAGCTTACCACCATCGAAATCTGATGAAAAAATTATATGAAAACAATTGAGCTTAAAATTTAACAAAACTTCTACCTGCACCACTGGAAAATCTATCACAATTAAATAAGAATAAACTTTTTTCGTTAACAGTCTAGAGATCAATATTTTTCAAATAATGTTCCAAATGTATAATGCACAAATTTATTTTTATTTGTTTTCTTTTCGAGATTATCAAGACACAATCTTTGTAACGCTCTCTATAGGTATAATAAAACATTAAGTAGATTTATGGCGTCGGTCGTAGCATAACTAACAATTTGCCAATAATCTGAGGGATTAGGAGCGACGTCTATTCCGGATAGCATTCCGGAAAGACCTTATTAGTCGATAGACATAAATTTGTTTTGACGTATCGCATCATGTTCCTAATCGTTATTAATTTGCTACCCCGCAACATTGTCGCTCGTGACAAATAATGAACTGTAATTCTTTTATTTACATGGAATTTTATAAGATTTCATACAATATTAGTGATTGAAATTGTTAGGATGGTGTTATTTTTGTGATACAGGGCGTTAAAGTCACACAAACCATCAAATATCTTTGTCAGAGTTTTATTTATCCTATACTTTTTCGCCAAGTTTTAAATACGTAGGGTACACTGAGATAAATGAAAGTGGCTTTGAGAAATTATGTAAAATTAAATAATTATTTTTCCTTTTGAAAATACAGTGGCATATTTGATTTTACCCCTTTTCTTATATCCTTTACTTTTTTCATCAATGAATCCTTCTAATTTATACCTATGCGAAATACATAATTAAACTAATTTTACCTTTTCTACTATGAAAATAGTTAAAATTATTCGAAGATAAAGATAAATAAATAAATAAATAAATAAATAAATAAATAAAATCGTCTTTATTGTACATAAAAAAGAAATTTCGTACAAAAGGCGAAGTTATAACCTCATGGCTACTCTTCCACTTAAACCTAGACACACAAATGATAAATTTGGTAAGTATTACATACAAAAAGGAACAATCACGTATTTTATTGAAATTAAAAATAAATTAAGTTAATTATAACGAGCGTTCAAATAAAAACGTGGTCGAAGTTGGCTCTGACATATTGGACGTAGGGAGTAGCTTATAGCGACCAACTTAACCTCATTTCTCAACGAGCTGTATAGCAGCTGTCAGTTTCAATAACGTTAATAACTATATAACTTTATTTTAAAGAATAATCGTGATAACAATAACAAACAATTAAAGGAGCTGCGGAAAGTGAAATGAAACCAGGCTTCATCAGAAAAAAAGTTGATATTATGAAGTTCACCGTAGTTGTTTAAAAACCATTCACAAAATACAGCCCGTCGCGGAAAATCAACTTCATGAAGTTCTTGCTGACAAGTTAAACGATAGAAGAACAAACGCAAATCTTTTTTTAACGCTGTGTGGCAGGTACCGACTGATACTCCCACCATTTGTGATAAAACACGTACAGAAGTTCTTGGCGCATTTTCCATTATTTGTTGGACATTTTCTTTTAATTCTTCAGTCCGCTTTTTAGGTAGGCCGCTTCCTTCTTTTCTTGTTACACTGCCCGTTTCACGAAAAACATTAACACAACGCTGAACTGCACTTTAAAAAATTTTGTACTCAACAACGCCGGGAAATTGATTTTGAAATTCTATGAAACATTCCTCAATATAATACTTCCATATTCCATCAATCTTGCGTCCATTTCTAAAGTAGGACTCTATGATAAACACTTTTTGTTCTTGAGAAAACACCATTTTAAACGCTTTTTAAAACGAAAATATTCAAATTGATATAGCGCTTTGACAGATGACGTTTAAGTTCATTTGCTATACGCTACGCCCTACGTCCAAATTTTCAGAACCAACTTGACCACGTTTTTATTTGAACGCTCGTTACAAATCAATTTGCAAAAGAAACGAGAAAAGCATGTGTATGTGCCAGTGAGCCAGCCACTAATGGCTGTTTTACATTGACAATTTATTGGTGAATAAATTGGCGAAGTTCTTCATGAATTCAACTATTTCGGAAATATTAAGTGTTTTCGGATTTATTGCAAAAATTAACATTAAAAAAGAAAATTATTTGATTACAGAAATTCGCTACAACACACTCAAAAACTAATAAAGTAATATGTACTGTTTATTTATTGATAATGTAAAAAAGCAAAAAAACNTCATAATCCATGTAGGAAGGGTCGGCAGCCCCAGAAGGACCTCTAACGCGGCAGTTGGGATCGTCCTCATTGCCCCTGTAATACCTAAGCAGGCAAGTCTCTGGATTCTCACCAACTTCCTGGCTACCGTCACCCCGCCCACACACGGCCACCAGACCAAGGCCCCATACTGTAGCCTCGGCCTGACCACCGCCGTATACACCCAGTGAAGCACCCTTGGATTGAGTCCCCAGTTTTTGCCAACTACCTTCCTTAACTGCCAGAGGGTTGCCACTGATTTCCGGATAATCCTCTCAACCTGTGGCCCCCACGACAGTTTGCTGTCCAAGATTGCCCCCAAGTATTTGACTTCCCTGACCAAAGTCAGGGGCGTCCCATACATGGTTGGAGCCCTGAAATCACCTATCTTCCTTCTCCTTGTAAATAGGATCATCTCAGTCTTCTTTGAGTTGACTGAGAGCACCACCTCTCTATGATCCTACAGGCTCACTGCATTCTGTCGCATACCACGTCCAAAAACCGGCCCGCGACTAGAACCACGCCATCATCGGCGTAAGCCTGGGCATCACTGTATCCCTCCGAGGTTAGGCGTTCCAGGAGACCGTCCATTACTAGGCACCATAGAAGCGGGGAGAGGCAGCTGCCTTGAGGGCATCCCCCCCACTCCCAGGTCCATACGACAGTCCCCCATGACTGCACTAACCTTCCTTTCCTTCAATGCTGAACTCACCCATTCGACCACGATAGGCGATGTGCCCCGGTCTTGGAGCGAGTTGCATATGGTCTCAGTTTTTGCCTTGTCGAAGGCACCTTCTATATCAAAGAATATTGCCAATACGACCTCTTTGTACTGAAGGGCCTTCTCTACTTTATGTGTGACACTATGTAAGGCCGTCTCCGTGGACCTGCCTCGCCTATATGCGTGCTGGTTCGTGTGGATTGGGTATCTACTCAACGCCCCATCCACCAGATACCTGTCCACAATCCTTTCCATCGTTTTAAACAGAAAGGATGTGAGACTGATAGGCCTAAAAGACTTTGCCGCAGTGTAGTCTTCCTTCCCAGCCTCGGGGATGAAGACCACCTTGGCTGACCTCCAAGCCTGTGGGACGTAGCCCATCGCCAGACAGAATATTTGCCTTAGTACAAAACCTGAGCAAAAGGCTCCCGCAGGCCTAATGCTGAGCACCGACCATTTCTCGTCCATGGAGAATTCTTACTATGGACATTGTTGGGCCATTTCCACGTTCCGCTGTCAGATATTCCTATATTTTATCGGTGGTGGACGTTTTCAGCAAATTTTTATTAGTATTTCCTTTACGCTCAGTTACAGCAACTGCCGTTGTAAAAATTTTTGATGAAAATGTAATTCTGATGTTTGGAGCTCCCAAGAAAGTTATAACGGACAATGGGGTCCAGTCGCGGAGTAATCATGGCCTTGCTCCAGAAGTACGGCATTATGCCTGGGTATATTGCCAATTACCACGCTCAAGCCAATCCAGTAGAACGCGTACACTATGTCATCAAAACTATTTTAACTTCTTACGTTGCGGACAATCATCGGTCATGGAATAAATACCTCGCTCACGTAGGCTGTGCTATAAGATCCTCACGTCATGAAACTACCAAATTGACCCCTAATTTCGTAATGTTTGGTATAGAAATTCAGCTATCCGGTGCTGACCACCATCCTCTAACTAATCTAACTGAAGAACTGGACACCTCAGAGTATGATGTGCAACTCAGTTCGGAAGCCCTTAAAGTTTTCAAAGATGTTTCCAAGAGGCTCAAAGAAGCCTATGAGCGTAGTCGGAAACATTATAATTTGCTGCGGCATGAAAAATTTCAACTTCACCAACACGTCTGGAAACGCAACTATACTCTATCGGATGCCAGTAAAGGAAATTAGCACCCAAGTTTGATGGTCAGTATACTATTATTAAGGTATTATCTCCTTGGTCACACAAACTGGTTAATGACATATGACGGAATCGAGGAGTCTGGCATGCCAAAGACACTAAAACCCACCCGCCAGGTGGTTAGAATGTTGCAAATCCTGAGTATTGACCCCCTTTGGTGTTGTCTAGTAACCGGTCAGTAGTTTAGTTTGATCAAGTTAAGACTAGAAATTAAGTAGGTTAGAGATTGGCCCAGCTCAAAAATTTGTTTAATCTTTCCGTCAGGTTGTATGTGCGTTATCTGCAGAATCGTTTTTTTTTTAAACTGCTCGGGAAAGGGGTGCGTTGTTACGGTTCCGATATATATAAAAAAAAGAACCAATGAAAGATAAATATTGATGTTTCAATATGTAAAACCCTATCAATCGCCGCCTCTGTCGAAATTGCTACGAGTTTTTGCGCCCGCAGACCAAGGAAGAAAAAAGTCCTTGATGATCTCGCTGTTAAATGGTCTTGAAATACGACATGCAAATTTTGCGAATATTAGAGCCAGAAACTCATAGAAAACAGAAATTATTTGTGTTTATTGACATCCGAGAAGAATCCCCAGAGAATTCGTGGCAAATCAATTTTAGTTTTCTTACGACAGGGTATCTCCTTAGGCCGCTAAATATCACGAGGTGTATACTGGCACTTATTTAATAAATCGTTGGTCGTGGACTCGAGCATTCACTACTCGTATGGCGCGATAACAATACATTCCATTTAGTCCTTTTTCCTTCTGGGATGCAATTTTGCCCAGCATAAACCTCCATAAACCTGGTACCTGCTTCACACATCCTAAGTAGTGTTGGTCCCGGCTCCGGGAGGGAGAATTCTACCGCAAGTCACAGGTCACCATTAGTATAAGGAAACCTCTTTTCGTCGAAACTAGGGGCAACTTAAAGGTAGCATTTTGAACCACAAATTTCTGGTAAGCAAAGCTTTTGATTTTTTAACATCCCTGCATTTAAGTAATTTCGAAATGTATCAGAATAAATTCTTCTTGCCTCCACACAATTGCCGAATGCTTATCCATAAGTTAGATGCATGTCAGCATTAATGAGATGTAATAATAATAATAATAATGACAAATTTTAATACGAATTATTAATTATGATGTTATTCGATTAATTATTGTGTTTAAATAGCTTATATTAATAAACTTGATAATTAAATAAATTTTGAAAGTCAATGTTTAAACGTGATACAAAAACGTTATACAAAAACTTAAACGGCTAATTTTATCGAAACAAATGTAGAGTACCTGTTTTAATAAGTATTTAAAAAAAATGCAGTTTCCAGCTCTATAGAATGACATCTGTCAAATTTTGGCTCAACGAGTGTGGTGGCACGTCAGTTCCTGACTTCCCTGATAGTGTAAAACATTTACTGTAGCATGGTTTTATGAGCCTTTATGGCCTACATAAAATATTAAAATTTCATTAAATTAAACACGTCGGTTAAAAAATTTAGCCGAAAAGGTAAATAACTGGGTTTGGGGCGCTGTATCTCCTTTAAGGGGCACTTTAGGAATCTTTTTTATGACAAACTAGGGTTATTTTGACCTCCCCTATACAGTCCCAAGAGTATACCTAAACAGGGTGTTAATGATAACTTTTGCCGGCCTATTTTACCGATCCAAATGCTCAGGTTTTGCCCTATAAAAATTTTTGATAGGAGGCTTACCTACAGAGATACAGGGTGTTAAAAGTTTAAAATATTTATATTATCTTTCCTGGAACTTCACTCGCATTGATTGAGTGATAAAACTTGGGGGATGACATTTTTTAGTAGGGACTATTTTTTCATGGATAACTTATTCCAAAATACACTCCAGTGGCGTATCGGGGGAGTAGGGGACCTTCTTTAAGAAAAACCTTCCCCACTGGTTTTTTAAATAATTTTAAATGTTTTTAAACCAATGTGTGGCAATAAAGTATTCTTGTAAGGTATTCGTAAAATTTACTGGTCTTTAGATAAATTGGGAAATCAAGTAAGAAGATACTTAAGTACCTATTTACCATTAACACCCTGTATACGGAGAGGAACATCGAATGGTGACCTTGGATTTGGCTTTGATCTCGACCTTCAGGTCATTTGAAGGCCAAATTTAATTTTTTAAATAGGAACCTGTATTCTGCCTAAAATTTCTATGGGTGCTTCACGTTGGAATATATTCTTTGAAGTACTGAGATCGAGTGAATAATGCTTGGACGTAGTCAGACTACTTCTGTCCTTAAACTTCTGTTCAGAGTCAAGCAAAAAACATTTCATTACGGTTTTTTTGTTGATGGGCATGGGCATGATATTTTTGTGTTTGCATTGACATTTGTATAAAACATTTGCATATGAGCGTATAAACGCTTTTTATTATAATTTAATCCATTTTTAGTTTTACAAACTTACAAAAAAAAATAAATTTTCTGTGTCGATCACGGGTCTGGTCGGTTAGTGTTTTGTTTAATTTATAACGTTTGGCTAAGCACGATAATACAATCTATATAAGATGATCTGCATAACTGATTAGCTAAATTAAAGTATTTTTTTTAGGTTCCTAAAGATAACCCAAAGGCGATGAGGTACATTATTCAAGACATCACCAATAATTTTCAAGTGTGAAACCAATTTTTAGGAAAAAAAATATTACATTAATTACCTATATCAATTATTTTAATAAAGTTTTGTGATGCAATAATAACATATTATTTGTGTAGGTGATGGTCTGTCATTAGCAACTGTAGATTCTTCAAAATGCGAAATTTCAACAAACGTAATTTTACTTGTATCAACTGTTAAGTGCAATTTATACATGCAAATATCGATGTCAAACTGTCCTAAATACAAATTATTGTAACTAATTACCACCACCATTAACTACTAACCACCAAAGTGGTTAAATCTAAATCATTAATTGATGTCGAAAGGTCGATAGAGAACACTGACCACACAAACCAATAATAATTATCACATATTAATAATAAACACTAGAAAGGTAGGCAAACTTCGCTGACGCGAAGTTTGACCTTTCTCTCGGGCCTTCGGCCCTCGAGCCGCGGCTCCGCGGTGCTCTCCTCGCTGGTTAGTAAATATAACATTTTTTGAAACACCCTGTACTTTAGTTTTTAAACACCCCGTATATAAAAGTTTATTGAGAACGTTTTTCAAAAAAGAGTAGGCCCCGCTCGGGGAAAGACTAAGAAAAGTTTCTTCCAAACTTCCAAAAAAGGCATCTGGTTAAATGAAAAAGGAAAAACCTAGTCCACCTGTGTCAGTTTTATGAAACACCCAGTACATAAATTGCAAAAAACATGTGGTTAGTAGGGAATAAGATTTTTCATAAAAATATTGCAGACTTCAGTACAAACTGTAGAAATGGAAACAAATATACCTAAGGAAAGTTTCGTTCTGTTGGTAATTGGATCAGTTTTGTGGAACATCCAGTATAAAGATTCAAAAAGACACCTGGTTAATAAATATACAATTTTTCATTCAAAGACTCTAGTAAATAAAGACAAAGTTAAAAGTGAAAAAGATAAAAATTTACCGTTTCAGATATGGATCAATTTTATGGAACACCCAGTACATATATGGATTTTCTAAAAAGCGGCTGGTCAGTAAATATACAACTTCAAAAGATTTCATGAAAAAATTAACAAAATGAATCAGAG